AGGGAGGAAAACGTCCGTAGTCCTCGAGGGCCTGCCCCTTCCCGTAGCGGTCGCCTCCTTCCTCCGTCTCCCACTTCTTAGGTTCTTACTGGGATCTAGGCAAAGGCGGAGCAGCTGGACTGGCGAAGGAACGCCTTCGGGTCTTTCTCTGCAGTGCCCGGCTCTCGGGAAGGCGGCCCAGCGGGAGAAGAACTAGAATAAACCAGAGGGTTGGGAACCGCGCCCCACTGGCCTCTCGGCCTGGGAGCCGGGTCTGCGGCGATACTCTTAGTGCTGAGGGACATTGGAAGTAAGGGGGTAGGTTAAGACCGGATGAGACCGCCCACCCCTCACTCCCCGCCCCTTCCCTTCCCCGAGCCAGTGGGCTCTCTCCCGGGATAGCTCAGTGCTGAGGGTTTGCAGTGACTTGCCACAAACGTACCTGTCATTTTCATTTTACTCCCAAAAACGTTTTTTACTGCCCCTGCTCCCAAAGGAACATTCAATAATCTCTTCGTTTCTGCTTCTGCGGCAGAAGTTTGTCCCCGGCCCAGAGCGAAGGTGGCATCTCTCCCCCAAGACGGGGTCCAAATCTGTGCTCTCTGTGTAGGGATGGAGTTTGGGCGCTCACAGGCACAGGCAGGCTCTTTACTGAGACCCAAGTCTGGTAGTTCACCCTCCCCGCCCTCTATAGCCACTCAGCCTTTAGCATTGGGAGACTGATGAGCTTTATTTCCGTTGACTGGCTACCCGCAGCTCACACTAAGAGAGGAGAGTCTGCAAAGCTAAGGTATGGACCATCACCCCCAGCGCCTCTTCCCCATTCCCCTCCCTCTCCCCACAGCCCTGCGGGAGATGATTGGATCTGGGCGAATGGCTGGAGACCGACTCCTGGAAAGTCTACTGCCACCTTCTCTATGGCCGCCTGCTTTTGGACTTTCAGATATAAACTTAAAAACAAAAATCACATTTCAGACTCCAGGACAAAGCATTCTGCCTTCATTTAGACACCTACCCGCCAAGATCTTATTTTAAAGTTGTTTTTC